TGATGGGCTGCATCAGAGCAGGGACGGGGGAGACGGTCTGGACGTGCCTCAGCCCACCCAGGCAAACACCAGCTCTACTTGGGAGCACTGGGACCCCAGGATAACAGGAGGAATGCTGTGTCATCGTGGACATTGCCCCTGGCAGGTAATACTTTACTTCCAGTCTGGCCAAACACCACACCTAAATGCTTGCTTTCTTTAACTTTATTGGGTCCTTCAGGAGCAGAGTTCATCAAGCCATTATGAAGATTTTCAGGTCCAGAGCAACGGAACCACGTGTATTTCTCAGCCTTCAGCTGGGCTTTTTGATGATACAGACCTTAGATGCCTTTGATTCTTCCCGTCCTACATATGTATGCTTTTGGATTAGAACATAATACCTTCTATCTTAATCCAGTCAGATCTCCTGTGCTGTTATTCAGGTTGTGTCTGCGTGTCCTTAGGGAAAAGCTGAGCATCTGCCTCCTTGTGGAAGGCTGGTAATAGTTTTCCTGAGGCAGGTTCTGTGGCCAGGTGAGATTCAGTAGGTTTGGGGCTTTTGTGTGTGTGTGTCCTTATTTGTTACTAATTTTCACTATATTGTCTCTCTTTGGTCAATGTCCTGTTACTGTTTGCAGAGAAATTCTGATCTCAAACCCTTCACATTACCCTCAGTCGATTTACTGCTGGCACACAAGTAGATTTCCCAATTCCACATCAGAAGGTATTTATAGGTGGAAAAATCACAGGCTGAACCTGGGTGGACCATGCATTGTGCACTTTGGCAAGCTGAAATGTCACTATTAGCCAGTTTTATGGGTTTCCATCAGCAGCTGCTTCCCTTTGGATCAGTAGACTGATTTTGGGTTGTTAGATGGGAATGTTGTTTGTTGTTCAGCCTTATACAGTTTCTTCTGGAAATGAAGTGTTACCACCAAGGTGGTTTTACATTGTCATTACATCAAGAAATTTTTAATTTAATGTTGAATTTAAAGTGTATCTATCTATCAATATAATTTTTAAAGGTTTTTGTAAACCCTTTGCATTCTAGGTCTTCATAACCTAAGACAGCATTTTTGGATAAGTGTTCTTTGCTACTTTTCAATGTTTATTTCTAGCACTACTGAACAGAATTAAAAGCATCAATAGTACACAGAATTAATAGTTGAGGACATGCTGAGGCATTGATGGAGCTTATAATTCTGAACAGACAAGACAGACATCAAACACTGAGCACCATGTTTTAACTTTTCCATTTGCTACTGTGTAGATCATTACAAATTTTATTACCTAATAAACTGCACCTTGTGTTTCTGTTCTCCACCACTCCCAAAACATTTGACGCCACACAAAAAATAAATCACAGTCATATTTGTTCCTTCAGGAGAACATCAGCCACTGCAGCTGTAAGTCTGCCTGAGCTTGTCGAGCTTAGTTCATGAAATACTCTGCTCCCTTATCACAGCAGTGCAGTGATTTTGTTACTGTTTTCACTGCCCCTTTGCTTGGTGGGCCAGTGCTCCTGCCAGACGTGTTCCTTACCTGGGTCAGAGCCCACAGTGAGTGCACATCCCTGGTCTCCCTTCCCGCAGGTGCTGATCCGGGACAGCCGGGGCGTGGGTTTCTGCGGCGGGAGCCTCCTGAGCAGCCGCTGGGTGGTCACAGCCGCGCACTGCCTGGACCTTGTGAGCCCCCACCACGTCACCGTGGGTGAGCACAGGGGGCGGGGGAGGCACAGCACAGCCAGCCCCACCTGCATTTAGGACCACTGCAGTTCCTTGGCAGCGTAGAGGTGCCAAAGGGCTCGGCTGGTCCCTTTTGTTTTCATGGAGAACCTGGGGAAACAAGGCAGAGATCTGTCTTCTTCTGTCATCAGTTTTGGCAAACTCACTGTGCACAGAGCCTGAGCACATCTTGGTGACCCCTCAGGAGGAAGAAGGGTTCCTGTAGGTGAATGTCTGCTCTCGAGGCCATTTTGGTTCTTAATCAGCCTTAAGGTTAATTACCTGCTGTGCTGCCTCTTCCTTATTGCCTGTAACTGGCTGGGAGCACAAAGCCCCTCTCCCCAGTTACAGCCACAGGAATTGGCCCCTTGAGGCAGGAATGCTGCAACAAACACAACCTTGTGCCACAGGGACCCTCCCGAAGAGGGATGTGCAGGAGGAGCGAACAGCACTGGGGAACTGACAGGACACAATTCTTCACCTTAGTCCCAGCTGCAGCTTAATGCTGATGTCATGTCCCTGAGAGGGAAAACACTGTCCCATGGAAGTGTAGGCACAACTCTGCTTACTAAAAAGGACTGACAGTGTTTATGGGAAAGCATCTCCGTTAGTATCTCATCATCCAGGCCCCAACTCTGCCAAAAGAACACCTGGAAAGTTTGGTTTGCAGGATCACAGCCGTCCTTGTTACATGCAGGATTTGGTTTGGGATGTGCCTTCTCAGGACAAAATATCAAAGCATTAACTCCCGTCCTTCCTGTTTCCCAGTGACGATACCACAGAGGCTGTTTACAGTTTGCTTAACGTTTTAACTTGTCCTGGCTGCAGGAGACTTTGACAAATACCAGAGAGAGTTCAAGGAGCAGAAGATCGCTGTGGAACGGAGCTGGACGCACCCACACTACGATTCCAACGACTACAACGGTGACATCGCGCTGCTCTACCTGAGCAATGCCGTTGTTTTCAACGAGTTCGCGATTCCCATCTGCCTGCCCAGCCCCGGCCTGGCCGCGCTGCTCTCCGAGGAGGGGCGGCTGGGGGTGGTGAGCGGCTGGGGAGCCACCCACGCCCGCGGCTCCCCCCTGCGCTTCCTCATGAAGGTGCGGCTGCCCCTGGTGAGCCTGGAGCGCTGCCAGCGGGCCATGGACAGGCTGGTCACCGACAACATGCTCTGCGCGGGGCACGGCACCGCGGCCGCCGACGCCTGCAAGGGGGACAGTGGGGGGCCCTTCATCGCCTCCCACCGCAACACCTGGTTCCTCCTGGGCATCGTCAGCTGGGGCGAGGGCTGTGCCCAGCAAGGGAAATACGGGGTGTACACCAGGGTAGCCAACTACATCCCCTGGATTAAAGAGGTGGTTGAAAGTGTAGCAGATTCAGAAAACTTTTCCATTAACTTTTCTTAATGCCAACTATAGGAGCAGGAATAATTCTACTGTTACTGTGTTTCAGTCTACAACACCGTGCCTGTTCTTGTCTGTAATGGTTTAAAATCAAGCTTCTTAGCCTCAAGGAAATTTTGAGAGGGTTAAATTGCTTATTCAAGTATTGCCAAGTAAAATACTTGTGTATAATAAAGAACTATTTGCAAGTAACAGAGGAGAAAACAACTTTTCTTAATGTAAATTCTTAGCAGGAAGATTTTTTTAAGTGAAAGCAAAAGCTTTACATTTCTCAGGCCTACCTGCATGTCACAGACAGGCACACTCAGTTCTCTGTATGAATTCAGTGCTTAGCAAAGCAAATGCAGTTTGGGTAGTGGTGTCTGGCTCTAGTTGTGAGACAGACAGTGCTGAACGCAGCAGTGAGGGAGCTCTGAAGTTCTGGAACCAAGGACATCAGTTTACTAAATTACAGATGTTTTCTGATACAAAAAAGTCTATATGGAACTGGGCATAAACCGAGCAGGAATCCACCCAGCTCCAGGAAGATTAAAGGATTGTGCAGTAAAATTCTCAACAGGTGATCCATGTCAAGTTTTGATTTTGTGACTTTTCCTAAAATTGACTATGAAGTTTTAATTACAACCCCCCAGCACACTCCATTGTTACCATTCCACAAGAAACAGGACCATTCTGTTTGCCTCAGAGAACACATGGTGTTGAGCTATTATGATGAATTTTGATAGGAAGAATTTGAATTAGGCCTTGCACAAGACCACCAAGCCCCCTACCTCAAGGAAACATCTCCTAGGATTTAAAAGTAACCCCTAGCCCCCAGTGACTAGAAGACTAGACTGAAGCAGCAGAACTACAAAAAAAAACTGGAAGAAAGAAGAATCTATTGGACCTTCAGGGCCAAACAGACCCTGGCTATGAACAGCTCTGCACAGTTTCCTTGTTTTTCACAGTTGCACCTGCCACTACTGCAGTAAGGAAGGCCCTGGCTTTCAATAAATTCTTAACTAAAAATGGAAAAAACCCCAAATCCCTGAAGATCGCAGCATGCTAAAACCACACCCCTGAGGTGGTTACTGCAGCATACACATACCTGGGGAGAGTAGGTGAAGTTGTCTTAGCAGAATCCCTCTCGTGCCCCAGGCATCCTCCTTCAGATCTTGCTTGCAGTTGGTGTCCCAGCACACAGCTCTCTGTTACTGTCACTCTCCAGTCTCACAGGGCCACATTTAACATGTGACTCTCCCCACTCTTGCATTCACCCATTACCAGTGCCAGCAGTAACTCAGCCAAACACCATAATCCCCACCTCAAAGAATTCCCAGAATTACAGAACACACATTACAGCAAACAGGCTCTGCTCCTCTGGAGGGAAGGCAACTTTCTTACTGAAGGAATTCCAACTGCCAGTTATCTGTGCAAGGAGGAGAGTCCTCTTCTTGTAGGCAAGCTCAGCAGAGACAACCAGTTGTGGAGGCAAAGAAGCAACACGAGCAGATGTTGCTCTGCTGTTGTTCTGTAGCTGCAGGGACAAAGAAGTAGCAGCATGATCCCCCCTAAGACAGAGAAAGGAACCTTCTCCTTCCCCCTGGTAAAACAAACCTTTTGCAAAGTCACTAGAGCTACAGAAACATTTTAGCTGGAAACTGCTGGAATTTTTAGTGGTTGGGCTGCTGGGCTTTCCATCAGTCTTCATGAAAAATAAAATCCTTTGTGTGGAAAATGGTCAATATTTCTCATCAAAAGCAATACATGTAGATCTCCAAAGACATAATAACTGATTAATAAATCACTGAATAAAGAGGAACTGGACAACTCTGAATAGAAAATTAACCATTCACAGCTTTTCCACATCCAAGGTGGTCTGTGCATACCTTCCCCTGAGTAATCAACAAGCAGCCCAAAAAAACAGAAGATGTTTTATTGTCTGAAGTGTTGCAATACAACAAATACATGATCTGTACAAAGGACATGATAGGGCCAGTTTAAATACAATCAGGAGAAAGAAGTCTTCATATTCACAGTCCTCAGACAACATCTTCTACCAGAACCTGAACCAACAATTCAAAGATTCACTTAAAAAAACCCCAAACAAGTTGTAAAAAATATTTAAAGGTCTCCAAAGAGTCTGTGGGTGCACTGTCTTACAGCAGAGCTCATGGGGTATTCTGTGAAGGGTCACAATGGCATCTTATTACCCTCAATGCTGATTTTCACTGCATGGGCCGATCTGCTTTTTTTCCTGATATCTGTGAATTTCCGCATCTGTTTGTCCAGTCGACTCACCCCTTTCTTAGAGGTCCCCTGGAACTTAAAAAATAAAACTAATAATTACCACTGAAAAAAAAGCAGACGTCCCAGAGGTCCAAGGCAAGCGGCGCATGCGAGGTCACACCTGGGTCTGGCTGCTGGGTCTGTTCTTCCCCCAGAGTGGGGAAGTGCTTCCCCCAGGATCTGCATGGCCCGTGTGCAGGCAGAGGCACTCAGCCATCACCCTGTTTGCTGGGTACAGTTTGCAAGTTTTCTCTCTACTGGCTGGAGGTGTGTCAGAACCACAGTGCACCAGTGTCACCCAGGAGGGCTTCCTGGGGGAGTTCAGACATGGATACGCTGTGACTGAGGCCGACACAGCATTTCCAAACTGCCATTTATTTTAAAGGTCATGGATTAGTCCTTATAAAGCATGAGATTATTGGGAAAAGTGTGTAGGGAGAAGCCAGAGAAATGCTAAACTGACCATACAAGCTCTTAGAAGTTATTGCATCTCACCTCTGCATTTGAACTGCAAGTGAAAAGCAGGCAGTGCAGCAGTTATTCTGCCCAGATTAAATACAGTGATGCTGTAACAAAACATCACTGAAGACAAACAGCAAGGACCTTCCAAGCCATAGCCCATATTTCCTAGAAGGCAATTTCCCCTAACTAGACAACAGAAACAATAAACAGTGGAAATGCCACACCTTTAAGTTTAGGAGAAACAGAGATATCCAAAACATGCTACATAGTATCTGACAAAACACATCCATTAGAAACTTGTTCCCATTGCTGAGGAAGGTGCCCCTGACACACTGATTTTAAATAAACTTTATTCATAAAACTGTTCACTACTCATTGAAATTATAGCTGAAGTTTCACAGTGATTTTTAAGAAAATATTTTTTTAAAACAAATAAATATGAAGCTTAAACTCAACAGTTATCTATCACTTGTGCTCATCTCTTCCTGTCACTGTTGGCTTGTGGCAGCCCTGCTCACAGCACTGAAATGCAGACCAGGAATTGTCACAACAATTCCCACACTGATGCATGTTCTCCCACCCCACACTCACAGTGGGGTGTTTCTTCTCCCCCGGTCTCATTCTCTGCCTCCCATCAACCACTCCTAAGGTCTCTTCACACTATCACATCACTCTACTTCCTTGAAAGAGGTGTGAAAAACACCTCCCTGTGCCCCCCTCAAAGATCAGCCACAGATGTTAGTGTGCAGTGACACGAGGTTCTGTACCAAGGGCTAAGAATTCCCATGTGTTGGTTCAGGTAAACCTGGAAAACCCAGTTGTGTCAGAACAGCACTTAAAGCCACAGGTGGTGCAAAGCTGGTACTGAGCACAGGTATGTTCACTGGACACCTGCCACTGGGGTACCCTGACGCTGTGCAGGCAGGTGCCATGGCAGGTGTTATGTGCTACAGCCTGTTTTCTCCTGTACAAGTTGCCTTGTAGGTCACAGTACAGACACGAGAGAATACAAGGAGAGTTTTCCAGGTTTAGGTGAGGGTGTACACACTGCTGTCCTGCATGTGCAAACTGCCAACAGCTGAAGCACATGCACTGTTCACACCTCCCTCGAGGGATACCTCTCCAACTTGGGAAGGCAGTGCCATGGCTACAGGGGCATCCTGTTGCCTTCAATGCTGAACTTGATGGCCCGATGCACTTTGCTGAGTCGTTTCTGTTCAGCAAACCGTCTCTTGTGCTTTTCCAAGCGACTAATACCTCTCTTAATAGTCCCGGGCTAGAAACAACATCTCAATTAATGCACAGAAGGAGAGAGAACAGCAGCAAGCACAGCAATTGTTACTTCTTCCATTTACACATACTCTACCACGTACACCCCTTTTAACTGAAACTGTACAAGGTAGATGGATGAACCACAGAAAGCAACACAAAGGCCTCCACTGAAGCTATTCAAGTTTACCAAAACCTCGAAGGTTTCCCAAACTGGAATATTATCAGAACATGATAATGTTCTGGGGAGAAGTATAAAAATATCAGTGCAGTGACAGAGGTATTGAACTGCAGGTTTAGGTCAGAATGCTCTAAAGCAAGAGGCCTGTGATCAGATTCTCAGCCAAGAGAGAAACTCTGGAACAGTTATCTCAAAAATCTCTTGTCAGAGAAGCAATGAAACCTGAGTGAAAGCATTTGATGAGCTTAGAACAGCCCACTCGACAGAGAACTTACTGTCTACTCCCATTAGAAGAGCCCCTTAAAAGAACTACCCTACTGTGCATGGCAATACAGTGACAGATCCCCAGGCTTAGGACAGTCACCAGGAGGATGCCAGCGCTTACCCTGGAGGACTCCATCTCCACGTTCCACTTTGGCCTGACCACGTAGTCCTTGTTGGAGGGCATGGGCACCCTCGCACGGGCACAGAACCCGGGATCCCCAGGCCTGAGAGCCCTGCAGGAAAAAAGGATGTGACTGTTATGGACAAATCTTATCCAGAAAGAAGTACAGCAATGTAGTGTGTTCTCCTCTGAAACACACTGCATACCACTGCCTCTAAAACCTCTACACAATTTCCATATTGATAGTACCACCAAAATACTTAAATTAATTTTTTTTTTAAAAATCCCAACCTACTTTTCCTCTCCAGTTAACACTTTCTCCAGGTCTCTGCGGGGAGTCTGCCCACCAGAGCTGCAAGAAAAACAAGTGTTTTTAGGCATCTATACACAGAGAAAGGCAGAAATTTTAAAAAACAAAGTGTGGTAAAAGGAAAGAGAGGTCATAACTTATTATGCTTCTGCTTCCTTAATATTTACACAACATTTTTCTTGATGGAGTCTTAGAAAGAAGGATTTCATGTTTCTACCTGCTACTCCTACCTGCTCAATTTCCTTCGATGAGGCATCTGTTCCAAATCTCTCTGTTCCCTCTCTTCTCTGGTCATGCCTTTGTAGTTTGAGGTAAGGCCAAAGATGGGTCGAGACCATTCATCTATTAAAAAAATAACTGGTTAACACAACGGCCAGGTCTCTGAAGTTTCTCTCAAACCATTCTGGTGATCCAAGTACAGCTTTTAAAGTTTACGGCAAGTATTTGTGCTTCCTTTCAACCAAACAAATGATTTGAGCCCTTAATACTTCATGGAAATCCAGCCTTGGGGACAGTAAGCAAGAGCTTTCATCCCTGAAGTCTTGCTGTTGCCTGTTCTTCCGGAATCCCTCTGAGCTCTCAGAATACTCAGTGTCAGGAGCTCCTGCACACCAAGATGCTATTTTAGAAATATGCAGAAGAGTTCCTAAAGAACATAAGTTCATCCTCAGTCTGCAGCCACTCCAGGTGGAATGCACTCCATATGGAGTACAGCTGGTTGAGTAGTAAACTCTCAGTCAGCCAAGTCCTCTCTGAAGTCCATGGAATAAACAGTCTTGCCTTTGCAGCACATACATGAGGGTCTGGACAGCAAACCAAGAGAGGACTGGGGCAAATAAATGCCATCTGACTTAGGACAAGAACGAACTTCTGCATGCACCTTGTCCTGTTTATTTCATGTAACAGTGTTTGTTAAGAGCTCTACAAAGTGATGGAACAGGTCAATGAGGTTCCTACATGGCAGAATTAATTCCATTACAGACAACAGCAAAAAGTGTGCACTAGAGATTGATGCAGAGATTTCATTCTCAGTGGAATCTCAGCAACACAAAGTGAAGACAGGTCTACATACTGATCAGCTTCCCTGCCATGTCCTTGTTTGGCCTCGACTCTTTGGGGTGTTTGTAGAGATACATCACAGCCCGTCCAATCCCACTGTGCTTCAGGGTCTCTTGGCTCACACTGGGCAGCTGCAGGGTAGGAAAAGTCAGAAAATAGCAAGAAATTATGTCTGAACATTATTGGCATCACTGAACTTCACAAAAAGACCAAAACTCACCTTCACAATAAGCTCGAAAAATTAATCTTTTTCATTGTCCCACTAGAAATGGTTTAAACTGTCAAACACCAAAAACTAGAAATTTGCCTTATAATTCTTGGGTTCATACACAAAATGAAGTAGGTTTCCAGAACTTTTTTACTCCAAATGCTCTTTAGCTTACACTACCCCAAAACTGAGTTACTCCCTTCAAAGCATTCACTCCATAAAAATAACAAGTTAGGAGGCAAAAGCACTCAGGCAACCAGCTTAGCTACAGACACTGACAGCCTACACTGAGTGTGACAGGCCTTCCTGGCACTGCACACTTTAACAGGCTGGAAAAGGAAGGGACCACGAGAGAAAAAACTTCAGGGAAATGCAGCAAATGACTCTTCACTAAATTTTGTATATAAACCTGAAACAGGCAGGCAGGGCTAAATCATCTAAATTCTTTTATACAAACATATCTGTTCTGCAGTTTGCTTCCCTGTGTGTTTCACTGCACAGCTCACTGGTAGCAGCCGCAGTTCATTTATCACCAAACATCTCCCTAAAGCACGTGACTATAAAACCATGGAGAAGCCATGAATTGAATGTTAAAAGTCAGTTCCAAACCTCCTGCAGGATCTTCAGAAGCTCCTCCCGTATCTTTAGTGCTGGCAGACTTCGGTCTGGAAGAGGAGAAAGCCACTCTTTGATGGCAGACATAACACCACTATCGATGAAAGTTTCTTTGAGGTCCTGCCTAGAAAGTTTAAAGAGAAGCCCCAGAGTCATGTAATATAACAAAATCTTAAGATGTAGATGTGTTCCTTAAGCACAATAGTGCATTTCAGTTTGTTTCATGTTAAATTAACAGGCAAAATCACATGTAAGTTTAGGTTTTTGAGGTCACCTAGCTCCAACATTTACTTGGAAGAAAAAAACTGCTTTACTGCATATTCTGTAGAGCTGCAGTGTCACCCCGTGAAATCTAACAGATTCTGAATATTCCCCAAGGTTATAATTAACTAGAAAAATAACAACTCACTTTTTAAGATGCATAACTACAGTTGGTAGCAAAGTTAATTTCTTTAGTGCTGGTTTCTTTTGTGTATTCAGCTGTCGATCCTCCTGTAGGGAGTTGAAGAATCAGCACAAGTTAACCACACTTTAGTCAACATTTTCCTGAAAAGCATCACATTAGGAGTGTCCCCCTAAATTTACATTTTTTTTCCCACTTCATGACTTCAAGTGACTGCAATAACTGGAGGTCTGCAGAGTTCTCCATGCTATGCACAGATAACCTCAACACTTTGTTAGTAAAACCTCACCTGAAAAACAGAACAACGGGAAGGGAGAACACATATATTCACTTCAGCTGTGGGTTTCAAAATTACTTTCATCCAAGGCATTACTGTCACTATCTGTTCAGTGCTTGGCTCCCATAGCTGGAACATCCACTGCAATCAACAGATTGCTGGGGTAATTCCTTTCTGCTCATCTTAATCCACTGAAGGCTCGTTCTGCACAATGGTTTTTTTATTGCAAGGGAGGAGATTCTTCTAATGCATCTCTTCCCCTCTTCATGCTCCAGTATTTCAAACTTTACCACCTCATTTGAAACATCTGGCTGTCATCTTGTCTAAAGAAAGACTTTCTTGCCAAGACCAAAGAAGCCTCAGTTATCTCCCACAATGCTTTCTCACTCTCCCTGTGCCCCTGAACTCATTATCCTTCTAATCTTGTTCTCAGGAAGATGTTTTTGTTATTGCTGTTTTTGAACTTCCTCTTTCTCAAGTTCTTATATCCCCCCAAATTGATTTTAACGTGTTTCACCGTGCTGTTTGTTCATTTGATTGCTTCTCAACAAAATAACAGAAAACACCTGAGAGAAGGCGAGACCCCAATAAACCTTGCACAGTAACATATTAAACATTTCTCCTTGAAAAAGGCAGGCTGCCAAGGCAGAACTTCCCATGATTCTGTTGCTCTGTCATTTACCACAGCACTGTCACTCAGTTTAGAAAAGGGTCCTTCTCAGGAAAAAATAACCAAAGTACAACATATACCAGTAATCATATAATGAAATAAATGCACAGTCCCTTTCTCAGTGTTTGATACACTTGTATATAGTTTACAGAGCAAGTATATATCCCTTTTTATAGAACAGCTGATCTCAGCTGAGCAAAGTTGACCAAATTAATTGATTTTAATTTTTAAAATTAGTATTCTCTCGAAATTTCAACAGAATAAATGTTTTAATTCAGAATAGTAAAATAACACTTAAACAGTTACATAGATACTGAAAGCTTTCCCATGTGTACAGATCACTCCTCCTAAATACAAGCCAGATTTTTGTATCTTACTGATCACAAGATTTTCCCTTGGAATGGAGCTGAATTTTAAGGTGCCTTTGGAGCCTGGAAAACTCACCTCAGCAGCTTCATTCATCTTGACAATCATGGCACTGACCACGTCATCCGCGTCACTGATGAACGTTCCCCCATCGCGGTTCCGCCGGCGCTTGCCGCTCATACTTTTCTTCCGCTGGAGCATCATGTCAAAATCTGACATGAAGTCCATGCTGAAATATGAGAGAGTTGGATAATTTTGTATTTCCATCGTGTACAAACACTATGTCTCAAGGTCCCTGTGAGATAATTAGTTATCCTCAGTGTGCAAAATGGAAAATTAGCAAAGGGCTCCAATGGCTCCAACATGCCCTTGGACCTTGCTGCAGCAGCCAACACGTGCACACATATAATATTCAGGGTTCAAAATGTCCTCAAGCTGGCACTGCAGCTGACAAACATTCAGCTTTCCTATACCTGCCATACACTGCTCTGATGCTACTGGAGCAGCCAGAAAGGAAACTGAGAACATGCTGATGGCAAGTCTTGCACCAGCAGAGAAAACACGCCTGTGACCCCAACGCTGAACTGCTAATGCTTGTTTGATTTCACTGAGGTTTTGATGTGAGCTATGAAATCCTGTCTCCAAAGCAGCAGGACAAGTAATCTGCTCTGGACTGCCACTGACCAAACTGCACAAGCTGGGACAGGACCTTGTCCTAGTTCATGAGAACACTGCAGAAATACAGCCCCAGACCTTTCTAAGCTAAGAATTCCAGCCAGTCTTTGGGGGAGCCCTTTCACCAAAATCTCGCATTAACAAATGAGTATGTAACACAGTGACTTACTGCTTCCCTCTTTTGATGTTATCATCAGAGTCTGATTCATCTGCTGTCTCCTTCATGTCTCCATCACCTTTCTCTTCCTCCAAATCCTCCTGGTTAAAACCCTGATGGGTAAAGACAGTGCAAATCAGTGTATGGATTAAGATTGAGCATCTCCTCAGCCACCTGACACTGACACTCGAAAAGCTTCAGGCAAGTCTGCAGAGGATCTAGAAAGAAGAGCAAAGTCTTTCTAATTCCACCTGTGACTGTCATACCAACATCTCTCCCAACAGAAGAGCTGTAAATATTATTTAACCCCAAGACTACCCCAGTGAGTCTGGCAGATACAAAGCTGATCTTGCACAGCATAAGCATTCCCCCCTCAAGATCAGATCTAGTAAGTGAATAGGAGACATCCACAATAACACTTACTGTAAATTCCTCCTCTTCCTCATCACCAGATTCTCCAAATATATCTGCAATCAGGTTCCTGTGAAGGAAACAGCAACATTTAGCTATTTGGATGGCAACAGTGAGATGTGCCTTTTCTGCAAAATCTCCAGTGATGGTGTGGAGACCCCTTTTCGTTCTGCCTCCTACTACTGACCTTCCTCTTCACACCACCAATGAAGGTGGACAGTCATTCCCTGGTTGAGATTCATCCATTCTCCATTCAACACCACTCTCACTACCTGCCACCCTGAAAGAATTCATAATCCCAGAAGCACTTACTCTTGTTCATTTCCAGATTCGCTGTCACTGCCAAACAGATCTTTCTCTTCTTTCTTCTTCCCAGCATTCTCTTTTCTTTCTTCTTCTTCTTCTTCTTCCTCCTCACTATCTGATACAATGTTTTTCTTCCTTTTGTCAGACTTCTCCGAAGCAGCATCACTGTCTGATTCTTCGACATCAGAAAGGATTCGTACCTTTTTTGCAGCTGCCAGCAGAGAAGAGCATTACTACATGTCCCAGTAACAGAGGTTACAACTGGTACTCTCAAAAAAGTATTCCCTGACTAGTCTTCCTACACAAAATCATTGTCATTTCTTAAAAGCATATCAATCCTAAACTCTGTTTAATTAAATCAGCAACTGGATTTATTTATCTATCCATAAAAGATCTATCCACACCTATCCATAAAAAATTTTAATTTCAAATCTGACTCTCACCCTCAGTACATGAAAATAAGAAAAAACTCACAGGAAAAAAAGACTAGAGAGAGAACAACAAAGTAGAGAAATAACAAACTATCATGAGAACCGATGCCAGTATAAAGCAAGACCACTACTGTCTTCTCTTCTGTTACACCTACTTATTATTCAAAAGTATTAGATAGATATTCACACAGCAAAGCAGTTAGACTAACAGCCTCTACAAAATTTTTCTCTAAAACCAAACCTGATTTAGGGTTTCTCACTTAGATGCTTTATTCACATGAACACAATGAATTTACTTTCACATCACTGCCTGTCACAGCACATTTTCAAGGTATAGTTCCTTACGTGTTTTCTCGCTCTCATCCTCACTGTCAGAAAGTATGGCTGTTTTCCTCTTCACTGTCTTCTCCTCCTCTTTCTCATCTTCATCACTGTCCGATATTTTACGTCTCTTAGGAGCTTCATCTTCACTGTCAGAGCCCTGAAATCCTTCCCTTACGTGTTCATTATCTGAATGATGAGAGTCATTCTGCACCTCCTCCTTCCTGTCCTCCCCGTCGCTCTCCTCAGACTCAATCTGTTTGTGCCTGGTGACATCCTCGCTCTCCGAGTCGCTGCCCGGCCGCTTGCGGAGCTCCTCGCTCTCCGAGTCGCTGCCCGGCTGCTTCTGGAGCTCCTCGCTCTCCGAGTCGCTGCCCGGCTGCTTGTGGGACTCCTCGTTTTCAAAATCACTGCTGGGGTCCCTGGGAGGTTCTCCATTATCAGAGTCACTCGCTCGATGATTTAAGGCCTCCTCGTTTTCAGAGTCACTTAAAGGCCGGTTTGGATGCTCCTCAGCATCAGAATCACTGTCTTTCCCTCCATGAGCTGCTTCATTGTCTGAATCACTCACATTGTGATTTGGAGGCTCCTCATTATCTGAATCACTGTCCTTTTGCCTTGGGATATCTTCATTTTCAGAGTCTGTCATATGAGGCTCTCCCACTTGCCCATCATCTTCTCCATCGCTGTGTTCATTCTGAAACAGAAAAATAATCTCAGGCAACTAAGCAAAAAAACCCTTAACAAGTAAAGAAAAAGATGTTCTGAATTTTTGCTCGTCCTTCCTCCAAGATACTGCAAACTGAAATACTTTCTACACAGAAATAATTAGACAATTTGTATCAAATACTATCAAATACTTCAGGTCAAGAAAAACATTAAGAGATCAATGGAAGTTTGTCTACCCTGCAGCTCAATCATGTTTTGGAAATGGTACCAGAATTGAAAAACCATTTAAATAAACATGTTCAAGAGGGTGCAGTTCCGCAAGGGTACAGGCTTAGTACCTTTATTTTAAAAGGTCAGGCCTTCAAAATCGTTTAGTTCAGATCCTCAGTAACAAAGCAAGAAACAGTACCTTGCATTTGTCATTTTATTTTCTTTAAGACCTCAAGCAGTTATTTTCTGTATGAAATACATTTCACTGAAGCTGCACGTGCATTATGCTTCAAGTGAAGCTCAAGAGAGCTACTGCCTGTTCCTTCTTTGCCCAGGAAACCTATTTAGGAACAAGTCATGACCAAAAGCCTACCAAAAAACAGGAATAAAGTTTTAGTCAGACCTTTCAGAGTATTACTGTTAGCAAGTTTTGTGTTTCAATGTGTAAGAATGTAAGAACAGATTTGACACTTGTCTCCGTTAAGCTGACAGCTCCCATCCTTATCCACACACTGGAGACAAACCACGCACAAAGACACCCATCTGAGAACTTGAGAACTGAAACACAATCCTTTGTCCTTTCTACACAGCAAAAAATACTGAGCCACATGCTCCACTTTTGGAAGAACCTTTCACAAGCTAGCTTGTCAAGTCTAACTACGGAGAATGTTGTCTTTTATCTTTCCTACAACACCTTGGGAAAAAATCTCCCTTGCATTTCCCTGAGAACACGAATTAGGCTCTTGCACACCCAATCCATTAACCCAGCACACCTCTACAGCCACTGTCACCATAATCCTGTTTTCAGCTGAAAACAACAATATTGTACTAGGAACTTCTCTTCTGCACACCCAACTCAACTCCTCAGGGCTGATTTTGTCCCAGCTATGAACTCCTTCCACTTGGAGAAAACTGAGTTTTTATTGTCCTGTTTAAGACCCGTATGTCCTGTTGTTTCCAAATCTTTTTTGTCTGTAATTTAATTTCCTTGGAAACAGACTTTCTGTCTACTTTTATTTTCTATAGTTATTCAACTCTCACATTCAGAGCCATACAAAATAATGCAGGTGTAGCTATCCTAAAACAAACAGCACTACTAATCTTTAAAATGCATGATTCAGAAGGAATTTTAAATAAAACTAATTTTAATTGCTTTTAGGAACTACTCCCTCCAGTACTATTCTAAGTGGCAAACAGCACTGCTTTTTAAGACTTTGGACCTTATGCATTTATTCCCTTGGGTAGCACTTGATAAAGATCTTCCGAATTACTGCAAAATGACTGACAGAAAGTTACTGCACAATGAAAAAACTCCAGGACTATGCAATTTTAAAACATGCACTTCAAATATAACTTCACTATTTCCACTTATTTTACTTAATGCTAACTACAAACACCTGCTGTGACAATCTGAATTGTTTCTCTTGCTGCTTGTTCCTGTTTCTACAGCGATGCATCTTTTGAATCCTGCTGGTATTATCCAGCACTTCTCCTTCCTCCTCACAGAAAGGAAACATGGTTCTGTTAAAACCTGAATTTGGAATTTTAAATAATTAAATAGGAAGACTAAGAAGTTACAGAACTGAGGATGACCATACACACTCAACTCTCAGCTTGTTACAGAATTTTATTTATTACTTTTATTCCCTTACCAAAAAATCACTTTGATTGCCCTCTCCTGCTTAGTATCTCCCACATAAACCAATCACAGGTACATGTGACAGATTTTCCCTGACTGTTACTTGAGATTAAAGAAAATTGCAGCTGGGAACAGAACAGGAAACTCAAGATTTCACAGCAGTTACAGATAAGGTTACAGATAAGGTCACTAAGAAGTACTGAAATGCAGAGATCTACACTGAAATTGATGTCTATAGTAACAAAAATTCTTTAATCCTTGTTTTTCTGCCATTTAATTTTGGTGGGTTTGTCTGTCTTCTCTCAATGTCAGATGGTGACTGCTGAATAGTACTGATAATTATGTCAGCAGTAATATGACATTTTGCTAAACAAACCCCAGGAAATTAATTCAAATACCCCTGTTAAAGCTATTAGGCTCATCACCTTCCTGACTGCCAGTTTAGAGATCCTTTGTGAAAAACTAAACAAAACTAAAAGCAACTAGAATCCGTAAAGATTCCTGATATTTCTAAGGTCAGAAGTGTGGCTGCAGGTTATATAACCACCTGTTCAGAATAAATTACTAAATCACAAAGACTTGGTAAGAAGACATTGTAATCATAGAGCATTATTACAGAAGCACTTGACAAGACAGTGAACTTCTAATCTTGTTACTGCAAACTGACAATCACTGGTGAGAAGGATGATGTTTGGGGAGGGAGAGCAGCCCCACAGCTGACCAGCTCACACTGGGATTACACAGAAGCCCAGCGGTTCCAGCAGCTCCATGTGCTGCACCAGCACAGCCACAGCTGAGGTACCCTGGGTGTCCCTGCACTCACTGGGCACATGGGCACCCCCAGCAGCTCAGCCTCTATCAGTGAGCTCAGCAGAGATGTCACACTGCCTCAGACCCAGCACCAACACAGCTGAGCACCTTCTGCACCAGAGCTGAGCCCCAGCACAGCCAGGCCCTGCCCACAGCCGGCAGCGCAAAGGGCTTCTGCACACAATTCATGACTCGGAATGTTTTGGAATATAGCTGATATCAAAAGTGCATGCATCTTCACAGTAAAATGACTAAATGCTACTGGATATGTTTGATAGGCTTCCCCTCCCCTTTTTTAATTTACTAGGTCGTCTCTAAAAAAGTGTTTTCAAAGAAATCAAGTACGTAATTTGAGTTTTCTAGTTTTCCTTTTCCAAATAATTAAAAGATTAGACATCCACAAAAATCAAGTAGGTCTCAGGTAACCGCTACTGCATTTTTCTCTAATTCCTTTACTTTCTTTTCTTCCTCCTCTTTATCTATAAACATTTTAATTGAGATGTCCTTAGTTTTGTTTTTTTAACTGAAAGAATTCTGTAACATGAGGCTTTAGTACAGTATAAAATAAGGAATACATCAAAAATCAAATTTACAGTGTTATCCTTCTAAATAAAACAATTTCAGTTAGCAGGTAGTTTATTGGAGAAACATGCAGACACTTTTAAGAGGTACTTCTTTGATAATTTGGTAAGTTCAACAAAATTGACCCATCCACTACAATCTCATGAATGACAAGTGTTAAACTAAGACAGAGATAACCATCATAGGCAGATCAGCAAGTTCCTCCTTTTTCAGAAGTGTCAGATATTTGTGTGTGTTTGTTAACAGTCACAGTGAAACCAGAACTCAATCCCTGAAACAGCAGTGACTTGGTGAAAGTGTAAGAGTTAAGTCATTACAGATTTCCATATAAGCCTGACTTGTACAAACACTGTAAACATGATTTCAGATTCGTTACTGTACTAAAACTATGTGTTATCTAATTCTAGTTGCCTAAAGCAGAATCAGTAAGGACATCAAGAAGAACATTTATAGATAAAGTAGGATTGGGGGAAGGAAAGCCAGAAAAGAATTGTGGAAAAGAAAAACCCACATACCTGAGACCTACATAAGTAATTCCTCAGGATTCCCCTTTTCTTTAAAGTTAAGAACCTGAAAGAAAAGTTTGAAATTTTAAAACTTCAGTTCTTTACATCTGAGTTCTAAATTAGAGACGAAATAGTAATTAAATAAACTTAACTGATTAGGCTGTCTCAAAGGTTTTATTACCTTTGAGTGTCATTCCTCCCACATACTCCTAAACATGATGAGAATAAGAGGATGAAAGAATATTTAGGGTAAATAATATGATAGATGACTGAAAGCTACTCCTTTCAGAGAGAGCTGCTCCACATTATTGCCTTTGGAGTGCAAAATGAACTCCATCCGTGGAGGGAAAGCCAAGAATTAAGACTTCATAACAAAACAAAACATTCCAATGGTTGATTTGAAGTGAAGCAAATAAAGCATTAAGGTTTGAAAGCATTAAGGCTTCACATTTCTATTGGACAGAAACCTGGTTTAACTTGGATTTTTTTTTTTAAGATGGACTTTCTAAAGTATTTCTGAGGAACACTCAACAGCCAGCACAGAACAGAGCCCTTAAAATAAGGCAGTACATGAAGAGAATCAGTTGCCAACAACAGGTACTTTCCAGTTACTTAAATCTGACAGAAACACATTGCAGATTTAAACAATAGTCAACTATCTCTTCTTTTGGAGAGATTGCAAGTTACTTTGCCACAGTAAATAAAATTTAAATCCCAGATGAGCATAGAAAAGCAAGAACCAATGATCAAGCTTTTGTACACAGTAGAAAAAGTTTAATATTATTGTAGCAGCACCATGACTCTCCATGCAGTCATTAATTTTCATTAAAACAGAAGTACTAAAGCCCTCTGACAGACAGTTACTTCTCCCATTCTCCCACAGTGGGAGATGCTGCCTCGCACCAAATCTGTTCTTCCATTGTAAATATCAACACTTTTTAAAAAGAACTAAACTCCAAATGTGGTTTACACTCAAGTTCAAATACATGGAAAGAACTTTCATTTAATACAAATACAAAATCTTGGTCTACTTTCTAACTCAGAGGGAAGTATGAATTCAATAAAGGCCAGGAGGAAAAGAAAAGGATTGCAAGTTATACCGCAGTGGAATCAAGCCTTCTGACACATCAGCCTATGTCACATTTTAAGGAACTTTTAAAATGTATAACACTGAAAACCTGGTCAGAGTAAATCCTAATCTTTACATAAAATGCAACAAAATAGGCAGAACACAATGAACTTTGATTACAGGCTTTGTGAGTATCAAAAAGTTCTCCCTAACTTTTTTGGTGGAAGACATGAGTTCACATTTCTTCCTACTAAGACTTGATGTAGCTCTATTGTGAGTCACAAAAAATTCTTTAAAATTAACCTTAACTATCAAACTGTCTTAGAAATCTAAAGGTAACCTTCACTTTTATCAGAATCTCTTCTCAACCAAAACAGTCAATCCACAAATGAAGTGACTCTCCCTCTGTCACAACTCTGGACCAAAGGCTCTCCAGAGCAAATGCTTCTTCAAGTGGAAGATTAGGTCCCATTTAACCTGCTCCACATGCACCTTTAACCTGCTCTCTTGGGAATGACAAGGACAAAACCAGCACAAAACAGACCTGAGAGTCAGTGACCCCACCTGAGATGGAAGCTGGAAGAGCATTCACACTCTGGCAAGGAAATCTACGTCTCCAAAACGTGTGGTTTTACATTACTGTGTGGATTTTCAGGTACAACTTCCAATTTCTCATAATCCGTGGCTTAGAATTTCAAACCTAAAAATGTTATCTTCGTGCAATTGAGTATAACAATATTAAACTTATTCAAGTTCAAAACAGTGCATGCTATTAAAACAATTAAGAAGAAAAATGAAAAAAGCTCCTATCCTATATACTGGTTAAGAGATTATCCAACTTTTTTTCTGGAGGTAAAGTTTTGCCAGATGGGACCCTTAAGAACTGAATAAAACATGAATGTCTGGGTTAAGAGAGAATGCCTCTTTAAACAACAACAAAAGAGAACTGAGGGAATAGTAAACTTTATCTAGATAAAGCTCCCGTAGTACCTCTGAATGGTGCCCTACACTTCCATTCTCCGATCCAGAATGCTGCTCATTTCCTTCATCTTCCACATCAGATCCCGAGTCTCGCTCGTCTTGCACTGGAGTAGCTCCTCCATCGTCTATCCCGAAGTTAAAAACAGAAAGTAAAACTCAATGACACCTCGCAGCATTTAAATGACCCGTCCAGGCTCCCGCTCTAACGCGGAGGGGAAACAACCTCGGGTCCGAACAAACCACCTCAGACACCCCTAAAGAGTGCACAAAACCATCTATACCAGGCGAGCAGCGACTGATACACTGCCCAGACACTGCGCTGTTAAAGTCCCCGGACCCGCGGGCCCCGCTGTGCCCGGCGCCCTCCCCGGCAGGGCCCCGCGCCGCTACCTGACCGCTCCCCGCCGTAACAGTGTGTCCACGGTGTCCGTGCCGGCCCCGCGCCCCTACCCGACTGCTCCCCGCCGTAACAGTGTGTGTCCATGGTGTCCGCCCCTACCTGACTGCTCCCCGCCGTAGTAGTCGGTGTCCATGCCGGGCCCGGGCTGGCGGCGGGCGCTGCCCTCGGCGCTGCCCCGGCCCCGCCGCCTCACACAGGAACAAGATGGCGCCTCCCCGCTCAGCACCGCCCCCGCCCCGCGCGCACCGCCGGCCGCGTCTCGCGAGACCTCCCGGGGCAGCCCCCGCCGGGGCCGCAACGTCTCCACACGCGACCCCGCCCGGCCGGGTCATGTTTCAGCACAACGAACTGAGTGCCGTTCATTCCTGCACCCAAAGTCTTTTTTTTCCCCATAGAATATCGTTTGATTTCAGCTTGATAACTGAAGCGCTGGGGAAATCGATGGAGCCTTTGAGGAAAAAAGGCTGTTTGTAGCCCCTGCGTGACGGCGGGCAGCGCACTGCTGCGGTGTGACACGAGTGGGATCCTGGTAGAGGGGTTTCCTTGGGTGAATTCCTGGGGGAATTTCCAGGACCGAACCAACTCCTGACAGCGTTCATGGCTGCTCGAGCCCACAGCCCTGAGCTACACGAGAGATCCCAACACCTCCCTTCTGCCAGACCAAGGCACATCACCACAGTGATAATTGGTGGGAGACCCAGTGTCATCTAGAGTAGAATAGATTTTGTCATCCAAAAAATAGGTAAATTTATCTGCTCCCTACAAACCAAGTGAGCAAGATTAACGTGCATCTCCACAAGAAGGCAGCAGGGCAGAAGCAGGGCTCAGGTCCCCACACACCAGTGGGCTCTGGAGGGGGCAGTGGGGGCCAGTAGTGCCCGTGTCACCGCTGCCCAGAGAGGGACCATGCCGGCCATGGAGAGGGAGGAATAGCTGTCCAGCAAATTTAGGTCTGACTGTCCTCGCTGAAGCTGCAGTTCAATCTAGTTCATGTGTGGGTGGTTCCACCAGATTTAGCCTTCAGGATTGACTGGAAGTTTGCCCTGAGCTCCCAGGTGATGGTGACTTCCGGAGTAAACACAGGGGCAGAACAATCCCCATCTTTTCCAGGGATTGTTGTGTTCTGTTTCAGTAACCCTCATCCTCTGAACAGCGTTACTACTCAAGTAATTTGGCATGCCCATGATATGTCAGTAGGGGATTACTGGTGATGACTGCTATCACTGATGCGTAATTTCAAAATGGGAAGTCTAATAAATGTGTACAGTGCTGGTCTCCTGCCCCTCAGTCTTCATTTTCTAGGAGGGTACAGGTCAATGTGAGACATAGAAAACTGCTGGGTATGTCATTTGGCATATTTCTAAATGGCACTGATTTTTATAATCCTACACACTACACTCTTGTTCAGGGACATCAAAATTTAGTAAGTTGATTATTCTGGGCAAAATGAGTCTATTTCTTCTGTGCTAGAGGCACCTTAGAATGGATGGCAGGGAGGTTAAGCTGCTATTAACCAACACACTCCAGAAGCAAGTACAGTTATAATGCAGGGAGTTCAGTGTACCAGGTTAAACACAGCTGAGATCTCAGGATTGAGTTATTACTCAACACCTTCTACAGCATCTCACTGAGAAGGAGAAATCAACAGTGAAGTCAGATGTTTCTTGGATACAATCCTATATTCTTAGCAAAAACACAGAAAACGTTCTTTTTCCCCTGAAAGCAGGATACCTAAAATAAAATGTCTCTTTGCTTACAGCTCTACAGGTCTTTTCCAGATTGCCCCCATTCCCTCAGGGATCCTCAGGACTACACTCTTGATGGTATCATGTCCTTTTTTCCTCCTTCTGTATGACTTTTACTGCTTTTAGGTCTTTGCATGGTGTGGTTTCACTTAGATCTTTTCTGGAAGGAGCAGGCACATGTGTTGTCAGGATGTGATGGGAGGCCCAGTCATTTCACTTGTCTGACTTCCATAAAGAAAGGGAGTGGCTTTATACAACTGACTAAATAGAAGGCAGGATGACAACTTTGCAACACAACACATAAAGTTCTCTGCAGAAAAAGCACTAAGGAAATAACTTGGGAGTAGTGTAACAGAAAATAATGGACAAGGGGAAATGTAAATAGAAACTAACCAAAAAAAAAAGGTCGAATAATGTGTACAAAGGTACACAGAAATTGTTCCAAGGGGCCTAGAAAACACAGAAATCTATCCCATACTAAGGTCCCATGCAGGATCAGAGTATGATGGTAGCCTGCCTTGGAAATCAGTCCTTTATAAATATATGTCATGTTCTGCAGTGATGGCAAGGCAGTGTCCCAAATTCCAGCAGCACTGAGGCTGCACTGATGAGTGAATAGAGATTTTGTGCATTTAGTGAAAGTGAAAGAAGGCACGGAGGTTCCTTCCTAACAGTTATGAATTCCCATCTTTCTGAAAAGAAACCTTCTAACCCCAAGCCACATCCACCACACAGCGGGGGGGGGGCACCTGTGTCTGAAATAACCTCACCTCAGCAATGCTGAATAACTGGGCCTCAGTCCTGACCCCCATTCTGCAGGTAACGTGTCTGTGCACTCTGCTGTGCACATGCCTTTGTCCCTCATGAGCCAGCGCTTGGCAGACATCAGCCTGTAATATACTCTTGTAATGCCCTCCTGGCTGCTTCCCAAGAGGAAGGATGGAGTGACAGTCAGACCATAATGGGATTGCACAGTGGGGGAGAATGACCTGTCTTCTACCAAGCAGCGTAAGCAGCGCACACTTGGCGTGTGTGAAGGTGTGTAATGACACAGATCTCAGAGCCCTGCCAGTCTGTCTTCCTGTGCAACACCGTGAACTGGCTGGAATGAAATAAGCCTTTCCCTGAGGGACAGAATGCTCAAGGAAACCATGGGATGCACTTGGAAATCCTTTACTGGTATGTACTACTTCTTTAGTTTGCTTTGTTCCCTGCACCTTTCAGAGTTAACAGACATCAGTGACTTAGAGCTACAAATCTGCTTAGAGAAAGGAAGGAGGTTAGTGTAGGCAGGAGGGCTGCTGAATGAACAGTTTAAATTGCAAATTGTTACATCCAATCCACCTCCCTTCAGAAATCTCAGAGAAATAACTAGTTTAACATAAAATGATGTTTGGCATCTAGGACTTGGTGATACAGAAATGACAAGGCCACTTTGATTTAGCTGGAGAGAAAATGTGAAAGGTAGTGCCATGTGCAAATTAAACCCTTTGATCCTGACATCAATCTCTTAATTAGGAAGCTGTCAGGAAGAGGTAGTTTTGTTAACACATGTCTATCCGGACAGACCTATTGCTTTGAACAACAGCAGGATTAAATTCACCAATGATTATCCAATTTTAATTTGGTGCATTTCTCAGTGCATTATTCCTCATAGAATCATAGAATCCCAGAATGGTTTAGGTGGGAAGGGACCTTAAAGTTCATCTTGTTCCACCCCCTGCCACGAGCAGGGACACCTTCCACTATCTGAGGTTGCTCTAAGCCCCTTCCAACCTGGCCTTAAACACTTCCAGGGATGGAGCAGCCACAGCTTCTCTGGGCAACCTGTGCCAGGGCCTCACTAATGTGCTGTTTAATAATGTTTTTAGCTTTACTACTTAAGCTGTGACTTCACAGTCTTCACCTTCAGCAATTTGCATACAAGAAAGTTTACAACAATTAATCAGCATAGACCGTGCTACAAATTATCCTTAATTACCACTACAAGTACTCCTGTGCCCTGCACAGTCCCTCCCCAAACTCTGTCTTCAGCAGCACACTGAGCTGCTCCCTCCTGGCAAGCTCCTCTCCTGTTTTTCCCTGTTCACACAGCTCAGTGACCCCCCAAACCTGAGCTGCCCCTTTGCACTCACAGTGCCTTCTCTGACAGCCCCTTTAGCAGTCACTTGCTCATCTCACACTAGGTTCATGTGCTGTGCAGAGCATCTTGGCTGCTTTCCCTTGGTATGTCAAGTCTCTACTCCTTCAGCTTTTGTTTTCTGGCCCTTGAATATGTCTAGACTGAACTGTGGAAATCAATCTCCCTTCCAATATGTATTTCAGCTGTACAATGAGTCATACTTCTCTTTCAGACTTACCTCAATTTCCCTGTGTTTCCATCTCATACAGTTTCTATACTGTGTTAGGACATAAATCCTGTGCTTTTCTGTGAAATAGCACAGCCATGGTGCCTTGGGCACATGGGTTAACAATGTAGATTATTTTGAGAATGAGATTTTCTGCCCCCAAACAGGCTCCATCTGGAATTTCAGCAGATATGTTTCCTTTGCTGAAGGAATACGAATGGCACTTTTTCCCCTGCAGTCTAATTATACAAAACCTTTGGTTTTAGAATGTACCTTGTATAAAGGTACGTGCTTTGATTTATTTGCCAATATTTGTCCTTCACCTAATAAAATCAGCCCTTGGAATTTTGTTAATCACTACAGCATATAGACTTCTAAAAATTGTATCAGAAATAAGACTGATAAACAACTACTTTGAGGCAAAATCTTTGGATAAGAATGATTTGCGCAGTTAGAAACTTGAAGAAAGCTCTCCTTCCTCTCTGCCTTGTGTCTTCCTACCTCTCTCTGAAAGTCTCTGAGCCTGGAAGGGCCTATGCTCTATTTCTGCACCTGTATTTTCACTGCTGCTCTAAAACTTAAATAAAAACTCAGGTAAGGAGACTGACATTAAAACACAAATATGTAAAGTGGACAAACACACATTACTCCCAACTATTTATTGCTGTACTTGAATGCTTACCTCTGATTTGGATATGGAGCTACAGCAGGAGCCCCAAGACATGGGAGCTTCTTGTTGTCTTTCCCATCACACAGTGCAGCCACACTGAACCTAGGAAACAAGAAAATAAGAATTAAGGTATTAGTTATAGTAGCACATGTTCACACGTCCACAATTATTGCACATTTTCATTTGCATGTTTAATAATGGGCACACAGACATAACTTTCTTCTGCATAGAGCCCTGGAGGAAGGTGACACAGCTGCATAAAGGTAGATGGAAAAAATCTCATCCTCACTGTTTGGGCTTGTCATTAGGGTTGGAATGTGCCTGAGTCCTGAGTTCTTGCTTTGGCTGGAGAAACCCTGTATCTGCCTTTCTACAGATGTACTACACTTCTGTTTCTTTCCCATACTGGAATTTAACCAAATTTGCAAGATGAACACAGGATTACTGAGAGTACCTGTGG